ATTTGAGCAGAGGAAAAATTGTATGCACCGGTGTATGGTTTGTAAGGTACATGTGACCGGTTTTCTTTTAGCAATAAATACATGAATATACATACAGTATTATTGTCATGTTATTGTATGAAAATAGTAAGTAAGTAAGTAAGCTTTATTTATATACTGCCTTTCACAGACCAGAGTCACAAAGCGGTTTACAATTGTTATTATTTTTTGGGCACTTGTCCTCTCACTCCACACAGAGATGGGAGCGGGGTCGCCGAACAGGAGGCGCACTCCAGAACTATTGTACATATTTTTTAGTGGTAGGGGAAACCAGAGTACTCGGAGGAAACCTACGCAGACACGGGGAGAACATGCAAACTCCACTCAGAAAGGCCCTGGTCCGGCCGGGATTCGAACCCAGGACCTTCTTGCTGAGAGGCGAGAGTGCTATCCACTCAGCCACCGTGCCGCCCAAAATATATTGTATACATAATAAAACTAAAATTAGGTGTATTTAAATTAGTCTGTTACCATTTTACGGACTGGTGCAAGGCACAGCAAAGAGATGAGAGCAAAGGAGGATCGGAAAATTAATGTTTATGGTAGTATTGGGAGAAACTATAACATGGTTTATATGTTCCAGGCAGGGTTTATGCATAAGGGGATCTTTGGATTTCACAGTTGAGTTCTGTTAAATTAAGTTAACATTTTGGCTCTTTCCCCTACTCCTTAGTCATGAGGGAGCCATGTAAAAACTGTTTTAAACATTTCAAATGAACATCCTTTATCAGACTGGACGACAGAGACAAGGAAAGCAACGCTAACACTCAGCTATTGCTCTGTTGTTCAATTACACTGCTTGATAGAAATAAATTATAAGAAGTGTCTTCTTGTAAATAAATACAATTAAGAATTATGTATTTTCAAAGGACCCCCAAACCATTCAATTATTGATTGGCTGTAAATGATCATAGACGGGGTCTGCTGACTTGCAGGGTTGAGGTGATTTCTTCTGTTTAAAATGTCACTGTTCACAACATTTGACATTGACTTTTACTTCTTGGGACAAGAAATATAACAAAGGATTATATATGAAAAATATATTTGTTGCCCCAGCTTTAATACCAGGTCCCACGGTGGGACAGCTGTGGCTCAGAAGTGCCAAACTGTCCTTTTGTCCTTTCCTGGTTTGAGTCTGGTGTCTGCGTCAGTGCAGCAGCTGTGGCTACACTGATGTTCCACCTGCAGCGTGTGCTGAATGAATAAATCCTTGGATGTGAGGAATCTTTAGGTGGCCAAAAAAAAAAACTGGTTGAATTGTTATTATTTTAACACCATTAAAGAAGAAATATTACACATTTTTGTGGCAATTAAAATTATGATGACATTATTTTTGTTGTCATGTTTTAAAGGGTAGTGAACTATATATATCCAGTAAAAAATGTATGAGGTGTAAAAAATGCTCTTTGCCTGTAACTCCATACACTACCACTAGAGGGATGAGTTGATTTTATATTTTCCTTTTTTAGAACATAAAAATTGCAACCACAGCAATGCAATTGTAAAGAATGTCATTTCACTTAAGAAATGTATATGCGATACTTTTGTTGTAAAGGTACAAGAAAACTGCTCTTCAGGAGTTTCTCATGGCAGCATTTATGGATCCATTATTTATTATTGATGATTGAACAATAAAAATTCATCACTAGATTCATCATTAGACCCCCGCCTTTTACTTTTGTGTGAACTGACACAGTAGAAATGTAATTCATGTATAAGATTTGAACGCATGCCTCCATCCCCTGGGGCGGCACGGTGGCTGAGTGGATAGCACTCTCGCTTCTCAGCAAGAAGATCCTGGCTTCAAATCCCGGTCGGAACAGGAGTTTACATGTTCTTCCTGAGTCTTCATAGGTTTTCTCCGGGTGCTTAAGGGTGTATTCAGACCTGAAAAGTCCTTTGCTCCGCTTGCTTGATCCGAATCAAAAGCGGACCAAACTTTTTTTCTTTTGCTCCGGTTCGTATTCAGATTGTCCTTTTTGCAAGTGAACTTTTTTATATAAATATATTGACACATGTGACGATCGGCGCTCCTATTGGACAGCAAGAGCTCACGGAGGATAGACGCGGAACTGGCAGAAAACATTGAGGGCTCGTATGTGCAGCATGTCTGCTCTGCCTGTGTTTGCTCTTTTTAGAGAAAAACCACCTTCAACATCAACAGCAGCAGCTCATATGACACCGGCGAAACACGTTGTTTTAAATATTGGAACAGCGACGGAGAATGCGTGAGGAGAAAGCCGAAGGAGACTGTCTGTGCGCTCCGTGCCCTGTCCCACACATGGATCTATGATAATAACGGCCCTGTTCAGCATGTGGATAAACCATGGATCTATAATAACCACGGGACAAACAGACGCTGAGGATCAGGTAGGAACCAAAGAACACAGTTCACTACATGATGCGGGATATTGCTTTTTGAGACGTGAGTCAAACAGTGTCAGGTTTTTTATAATGCAAATGGTTTGAAGATGCTGCATTAACATCAATGTATACTGTGAACAGTTTTAACTCCATAAGCTTGTTGCACAGCGTCTCCCCACTGCTCCAGGTCTGCACACGGCTCATTGTTGTTGTGTAGCGTTAGCAGCATAGTTAGCATCTGCGTGGCTAATTCCTCAGTTTCTGTCTGCGGCTTGTTAAGCCCAAAAAATGCGCACGTATCTTGGAGTTGTGTTGGATCGACACCGGATGTATTCAGACCTGATTCGACTTGGACCAGAATTCGTTTGGAAGCGGACCGAGACCACCTAAAAAAGTGGGTCTCGGTTCGGTTCTTTGGTCCGGACCAGGATTCGTTTGTGTGTATTCAGACCTGCATAAAAGGTTCGGATCGGAATTCCAAACGAATCCTGGTCCGTTTAAAGTGGAGCAAATGTGCAGGTCTGAATACACCCTGAGTTTCCCCTACCACTAGGTAAAATCCTCCAGCTCTTAGTCCTGACCAAGCCGAGCAAAAAACGTCTTGAGATGGGTTCCCGGGTGCTGTACTACAGTGACCACTGCCGTAGTGACATCAGGGTGAGTCAAATGCAGAGGATGAATTACCGTACAGGGATTAATAAAGTGCACCTTTATTACTGTTTTGTGACTTGCTACCATCAGAAAACCAATGCAGCAAACACTGTATATGACCTAATTATGAGAAAAGTTCAAAAAAGTAGATTTTGCACATCATTGTCTACTTTAAACACAAGACATGAATGGCATCTCTGAATAACCTGCTGGCCTTTTTCACATTATCCTAAAGAATAATCATGCTAATCACTTCGTCAATATCTCCCACGCATTGTCCCTGCGGCGCTGGGCGTGCAAACAGACGGGTCAGCCTGCAACGGTGACATTGACACAGCACCATGAAGCGGCGCTGGCTCACTGCTGACGAGGCGCACCTAGTTCCCCACCAAAGCAGAGCGATGCGCAGGTGGGGCGCGAATACCCCTGAGAATGCATGCACGTGTCTGACTTATAGATATGAATGCGTGCAGGGGTGAGGGCGCTTGCATTGGAAGTGATGGGAGTGGGGTGAGTGGGAGGGGGGGAGATAGAGGCCAGCCCCTGTCTGCTGATGGGGTGATGTTGGTGCAGTGGGAACAGAGCCAGGAAAACAGCGCGGACTGCAGAGGAGACTGCTGCAGAGTCCCAGCACAGAGCGCCGCCGATGCTGTGTCCGGGGGAGGGAAGGGGAGGAGAGGGGGGGGGGGGGGGGGAGGCTGGTAGAAGAGCCTGATGAGGAAAATATATGTTATACTAAACTGTACTGTACAGTATCAATTGCACTGTATCAAGTAGGATATTGGTGCACTTGGATAGGGTCGATACTCAATACCAACTTTGAAGTGATGGGCATGACGGTGTGAAATGTTCTTTGGTTGGAGTTTTATACTGATACTATTATTACTACTGTTATTAGTACAAATACTACTGATACTTCTGCTACTGCTGCTACTACCACTACTAATAATACTGCTTCTTGAGACTACTACAGCTATGATTAGAGCTATTGTGCTACTATTGTTACTATTGCTACAACGTCTACTACTACCAATACTACTAATACTACTACTTTTAGTTTAGTTTAGTTTAGTTTATTCCAAGCCGGTACAATACAACATAAGATAAAAAGAAATACATTACGAACCTATACAATATTAACACATCAATAGAAAAGGAAAAAAATAAAAATAAATAAACAGCTTGGAAGGGAGTGGGATGAAGACAAGCTACTATTACTACAACTAATACTGCTACTTCTAATACTACTACTACAGCCATTGCTACTACTAACTACTAGCCACCGTGGATAGCACTCGCACTCAAGCAAGAAAGTCCTGTATTCAAATCCCGGTCAGAACAGGGCCTTTCGGAGAGAGGAGTTTGCATGTTCTCCCCGTGTTTGCGTAGGTTTCCTCTGGGTGCTCGGGTTCCCCCTACCACTACAAACAAGTATAATAGGTATGAATGTAATGAGTGAGTGAATGGATGGTGCTGATTGGAGGCTTCGATGCGCCAGTGTGTTCGGCGTCTCGCCTCCGTCATCACCGTGTGTGGATTGATCGGTAAAAACTGAACTCTGAACATTGTAAAGCGCTTTGGGTGACCTTGGTCTGGAAAAAAAACATCTATTAAAATAAAGATTACTTACTACTGCCATTGCTGCTGCTGCTGCTGCTACAAAAGTCATTATATAGCAGCTCAAATGTGATATTCCATTTGCCATTGAAAGTTGCTCAAATGAGATTAATTTGCATTTGTTTTAGAATCACTTAATATAATCTGATTTTTAGTGAGTCCTGTTTAATCCCATTTTTGCACAACTTTGCTCCATTCTTCTCTCTGTGCATGAGTATCAAAAAAACGCACTGAATTTCTGAAATAATCCTTTTTGCAGCTAAATCCCGACAGTTAGGACGACATATGCCTGTGATATAATGAAGTGAACGTTCCATGGTGTGTTCCAGGGTGCTCCGCTATGGACGTGCTTGTTCCCAGTGAAATCAACGCTCTCAACGGGACAACTATCAAAATCCCCTGCACGTTTACCTCCTGCTACAAATTAGACACCACAAAGTTTGTCATGAACTGGACCTTCCATGAGACGGCCAACGACACTGAGGAAATGGTATAACAGTACTTCAGAAACAGTACTCTGTATGGTGTGTTAGAGCAGGGTTCGAGATCCAATGTATGTGTAAAATCAATGTCTTCAGTTCAATTTATTCTTGTATAGCCCTAAGGTACATCGACAGAGTAACTGGAGACAACTAGTTGCAAGGCGGCTTTTGGCAACTGAGAGTACATGATGGGAGATGATCAGTTGCCGAAATCGGTAGATGTGAACGCTCTTACAACTGGAGATAAACAGTCGATTTCCGGATTCAGTCTGTTGCCCGTGTTCTACTTTTCGGCAAATAGTTGTCCTCAGATCCGGAGATATCACCAGATGATGTGTGCACTCCAACAACATGTGTTGAGAGTGTTATCATGTGACGTATTGCGCGCCCTCTACAGTTTATGTCAGAAAACACACTGTAGTTGACGGCCAGTTGCTGTTGATGTACGCGCTGTTATTCCCGAGACTGGCCTGCTTCTAGGAGTTGCCCGTTTTTGCCAGATTGTCAATGTGTGCGGGGCAGCAACTCATATGCGACGGATATAATCAGTTGCCAGTCCGATGTACGCTAGGCATAAATCACAACAATCTCAGAGGACTTTACACAACCGTTGAATTCACCAACACAGATCAGAGAATCAAACAGTTCAAAGACAGGGAATAAAACAGAAAACACATTGGTATTGGGCCATAGGAAATATGGAACAGAGATATATCACTTTTATGAATAAATCTGAAGTGACTGAGTATTGTGTTTGTCCCTACAGAAAGGGTAGGCAACATTTCAACTTTTAATTCAAAGTTGCAAGAAGATCACATTTATTTTGGAGAGTTGCGTAAGGTCCATAAGGTCCAAAAGGTGTGGTATGACCAATGTCCATAAATGTTAATAAATGTCGGTAAAGGTTCCTAAATGTCCTGGAATCATCTCTGTCCTTAGACTACGAACTACGTACACTGACTGCAGGAAAAAATGGGAAACCTCAGGGAGACCCACATTGAAAGAGGGATCCACTCTCTCAAACAGACAGGTTATAAATCCAGGACTCCAGGCTGTTATAAACACAGTATGAGTTTGTATTAGGCCAAAAATAAATACATGTGAAACCAAACTGATTTGAGAGCCTGGAAGTTATGTAGACGTATTTTAAATTACACAGTTATTGTGTGGATTCAAAGTTAGGTACCCCAACTTTAAGTTAAAAGTAAAAATGCAATCAGTATCACTAGCGCAGTAGCACAGTCCTTGTCCTTTTGATTCTCTAGTTTTCAATTTTGGCCTATGTCACATTTTACATCAGCTTTTTCAGACAAAAAAAAGTGAAAAAAAAAAAAAAAGGCCGCGCTAGCTTAGCCAATCAGCTCTCAGCTCAAAGCATCAAAAAGAGACTTACTGGAGAAGTATACAAAATCCATATTTCAACATCTGTAAAACATCTGTGTGTGTGTGTGCGCGCAGTTCATGGCGTACTACAAGAAGAAGGGCATGGTGGCGCTGCGCTCGGACCGCTTCGGGGACAGGGTGATGTTTGCGGGGAACCTGGACAAGAACGACCTGTCCATCACTCTGTCGGACGTCCAGCCGGAAGACGCGGGAATCTACAACTGCTACGTCCGCAACCCCCCAGACCGCATCCAGGGCCAGGGGATCATCAACCTGGTGGTGGTGACTGAACGTAAGGCTAACACATGTGCTATGGAATCAAAGCTGAGAGAGAGTAAACTCTACATCAACTAACTGATGAACCCAGATTTGTCTAATAACATTCTAGGAAACACGACTGCATTTTTGTTTGATTTGTTATTTCTGTGTTAACAGTGGAAGAATTTTCAAAGTGTACATGGAAACATTTGCGGAAAATCAGAAAACAAGTGTGTCAAGTAATTGTTTGGACTTCTGTATGGTCATTCCCATGTCGCAAAAGAAAAAAAAAAGAATACAAAATTTGCCCCTAAAATCCCCAGGTCGCCTCATCCTTACATGGGTCCGACATGGGCTGGCGTATCAAGACAATTCTGAATTTAACCCGCCTTGTGACCTAGTCTGTTTGCTGTGAACCAGTATGAACCAATTATAGCGGTCATTAAGGCAGCAATAAAACCAAACTATTGAAGATAAATCTACACACAAGTCACATATGGGACTTTACTTTGTGTAATGACAGCGTAACAAACTGTCAAAGTTTGGGCTTTTTCATGCACTGCTCTCCCCTTTATAAAACTGTTCTTGTCAAAAATATGTTTGAAAATGTCCCTATAGCTCCACATGGATAGAGCTTAACATCTGCAGAAATCGCTTCGATAAAAGTTTCCTCATGCAGTATAGGAAGCTTCATCTTTTCTTATTAGTAGATCAAGTTATTTGGTTCTTCTATATCAGACAAATGTAAGCAAATATGTTAAGGTACACAGCAAAAAGGAATGACAAATTATTTAAAAGTTAAAAAAGTGGCAAATGTATCTTAAATGGAGCACATTTTGATTGCCTTAAAACAAGATTTGCCATTGGAACAAGCGAAATTGTCTGGTTTTTCAAAAGGTACAAGACATTTTTTTCTATTGGAATGAGAAAAAATAACAACAGTTCTTGAAATGAGACTAAATGGCTTCGTCCCATTTGCCAATCTTGTCTTTAAGCTATCGGAGTGTACTCAGTCTAAGATGAAAACCACTTGATTTAAGCAAATATTACCTCATATTTTACAATGTTTTGCCGCGTAATAACATCACTATCTTACAATCGTCTGGTATAGAAGAACCAAATAATGCAGTAATGTGTAAATGTCTGTCTCCATGCGGCAGGCAGACTTAGTTAGCTCTTTACTTATGTATGACCGACCGTCTAAAGGTCACACTCTCGGCCTCAGCACATCTTCAGCAGATCCTCAACAGTCTTACTCAGCTCCTGTTCCATTACCCTCCTCATCCCTCCACAGCAGCCAACAACGTGTCTCTGTCAACAATATCCTGAATACGTGTCTTTGCTGCTTTTGGCCAGTTCCTGCGCCCAGAGACTCGACCATAGCCGTGGCCATAGGAGCGTCGGTGGGAGGGGCCTTAGCTCTGCTCATCCTGTCCATGGTGGTGGTGAAATGCCTGCGCCGACACCGCAAACAGGAACTCATATCAGAGGAGAAGATGGAGGAGGAGGGCAAGCTGGAGGCAGAAGGAGTGGCAGAGGAGGAGACAAAGTAAGCAGCACACAAACTAAACTGGGGAACTAATATTACAATTGGAGACTTGAGTACTACTTGAGTACAATCCAAAGACAATTCTTTCAAGAAAGTTTGCCTTTTACCGTAACATATCTGGAAATAATGTATAATAACATAATAATCTGGTTTAAATGTGTTAGCATCATTCTCACAGTCAGCCCATACTGAGTTACTTACAGAGTGAAATACAACTAGGCCATAATCAGGCAAAATAAAACATTTGTTTTGCCTGACATTTAATTAAAACTTAGGGCGGGATCTTTTATGTGTTATGTCAGCTTTTGAAAGGTGATCCTGGACTTGTGTACTTCAAAACCTGTTACTCCACCTCTAAAACTAAAGAGAGCGGTACCTTTTTATTGGTACCACATACGGATATCAATTCATAGCTGTCAAAGAAACTGGAACTCATAACAACTGACTTTTATGAAATGGAAAGTTGAAAGAGCTTCCATGGAAACAAGCAGAAGGAGGCTTCGGAAACCAAGTTTTATGCAGCTAGTGGGTTTGGGTCTTTGTAAGAGGTCAGGATTGTGAAGATGTTGTTAATTTGTTAGTTATTGAAGTGCAATAAATAAGGAAAACTTTTTTTACCAATGGTTTTTGAAAGTAAACAAATTCATCATCTGACAGTGTTCATTTTAACAAAGATTTGTATATTTTGTACTTACGCACCCCAGGTTTAATGTGAGCTATGTGTCAATATGTGGTTTTGATTGCCTGCTGTGCTGTTCCTCTCATACAGGCAACCCTAACAGTGCCAGGCCGAGCCAATGGCCGTTGGATGACCAAACCTTAAAACCCGGTACGGAACCTTTCTTTTCTTTGTGTGTTTTTTGTGTGTTCTGGTTTGATTCTTGTGCAGTTTTATTATATTGTTTCATATATGTGAGCTGAGTAACGGCTGGTCGTCTCTTTGTAAATGAAGTTACAGTAGTAGCTGGACTATTCAAGTGCAGTTTATACAGTATACACATGCCTTTAATAGGTCAGCAACTACTGTACATGCTTTTGTTGTGGTTGCGGTTTACAAATGATGTAGTACAGCTTTAATGTTAGTGTCTGTTTTTTTTTTTTTTTCCAGATTCGCTCCCTGAAGCTGTTTAGTGACCAGTGCTTGACCCTCGTATCAGCGACCGTAGAGCCATGAGCATAACTGTCTGTCACCAGTGTGCTTCCATAAGTGTGCGTGTGCATTGGTGTGCGTGTGTGCATTTGTGTGTGTGTGTGTGTGTGCGCGTGCATGTGTGTGTGTATGTGTGTGTGTGCGCGTGTTTGCATTTCTATAACAAGTCTTAGTGTCTTTTCTACCACAGGCCAGGGACCACTTGTGCTAATACGTCCACCGCGTTAGCTTAGGCTGCACATCAGACAGATCCGGAGAGAACCAATATTCACAGTTTCTAGTTTTGATAGAATGAGTTGTGATACTGAAAGGCATCCACTATAATAACAACTATAAATATGAAGATGTCTTAACAGTAATTTTTCAGAAGTCTTCTACTGTCTGGACTTAATTTTATAAATGATTTGGGAGCGCTGGTATTACTGCAGTGTAAACAGCTACTACTCCAAACACAAAGTTCAAGTTAAAACATATGAAAACATAAATCCTGCTGAGGAATACTTAGTTGTTGTTTTTTTTATAGTGATTGTCTTTTCATTTTAATCTTTTATATTTTTTATTGGCACTGGAAAAGGTAAAATGCATGTATCCTTACTGTGAAGTTGCATCTACACAAATATGCGTACTTATACCTTCTCTATAGATAATGTTCCACCATAAAAATTACATTTTCAAAAGGTAAACCATTCCTTCTCACAATATTTGGATATATTGACGTGTACGTATTGATATATAAGAATTGAGTGAGACATTATTAAACAAAACAGGGCCAGTGTCCAATAATAACTATACAATGTTTATTTGTCATCCTTCAAATCTCTGAAAAATATTTTAGGAACTCAATAGTAGCACAAATTACAAAACATGCATGTGAAATCAACATTACAGTAACCATTTCAAATAAGCATCCCAAATCATCAGATACATTTAAATATGTATATATATACTTATACATAAGTGTTTTGGCTTTTGATTTTCAAGTATGTATTCACCAAACACTGAAGACATCACTTTGCACCTTGACTGCTGTAACTAGTGTGTTTGAAGTTGTAAAAAAAAAATACAAGCATATTATAGTAAACACAGTAAATAGCTGTTTCTCCAAAGTCATGCCTTTACCTCAACATAGACATTATAAAGTAGGGGTCAACCGATATATTTTGTCTGATACAACTGACTATATATCCGATATTCATCAGCAACATTTCACTTTGTCTGGATCCCAGAAGCACACGTTGATTGAAAAAATAAATAAAACAATAACAATTTGCAACCCTTGAAGATCAACTGCGCTTGGGTCAATAGTCATGGATTATCAAACTGTGAGATTCTCCCAAATCACAAATTCTGTGTGATTTTGGTGAAAATAGAAGAGCTGCAAATATGAAAAACCTCTGTGTAGGTCATTGGGAAGATGTGAAAGACAGGAGAGGACCGCCATAACACTAAGACAGGAGAGGGCCGGCATGACACTTAAGACAGGAGAAAACTTGCATAACACTAGGAGAAAGACGAGAGAAAATGGTATGACATTAGGGGAAAGACAGGAGAAGACTGAAATAACATGAGGCCAAGGACAGGAGAGGACCGGCGTAACACTAGGATAAAAACAGGAGAAGACTAGCATAAAACTAGGAGAAAAACAGGAAAAGACCGGCATAACAGCAGGAGGAAGATAGGAGAAGACTGACATAGGGCGACAGTAGCTCAGTTGGTAGAGCATTGACCTTTGAGCCAGAAGATCGAGCCCACCACAAGACTTTCTCCACTGACTCCCACTGATGTCTGCTGTTGTTGTGTCCTTTGCAAGACACTTAACCTCTGGGAACACCCAATGCCACAGTGGGGCGGCTGCGGCTGTAAAGTGCCAAACTGCCGTTGTGTCCTTAGGCAAGACACTTCACCCCCATTGCCTAGAATGAGTCTGGTGTGTGTGTGAGTGAATGGTTGGTGGTGGTCGGAGGGGCAGATGGCACATACTGGTTGCCTCGCTTCTGTCAGTGTGCCCCAGGGCAGCTGTGGCTACAGTAGTAGTTTATCACCACTGTGTATGGAGTGAAAGAAAAGACATGTGAAGCGCCTTTGAGTGTCCAAAAAAGCGCTATATAAAACCGATGCATAATTATTTTTATTATTATTATAACACATGGCAAAAGAAAGGAGAGAACTGGCATAACACGAGACGAAAAAAAAAACTATAGCGGCCCTGTGGAAAATGCAGAAAGGTGGGACTTTTTAGCAATTTTCATGACACTCAAAGATGGAACCAGTCTGTGCCATTGCCTTCTTCCTACCACCACCAACCATTCCCTCACACCAGACTAATGCTGGGTAAAGTGGCTGAAGTGACTATTAGTGACATACTGTAGACTAATACATACTGTACACAAAAAAACCAACAAAACAAAATGGGAAAACCAGACGATACATATACTATACATATAAATGGTTGCCATAATCGGTCGACCCCTATTATAGATCTCCTTAATTTTGCACATAACGCTGTCACTTCTAATCAAAAGGAGAGCATGCCTTCTTATGGTGTATTGAATGTGTGGCATGGAGCCTGTTTGGTGCGCTGAGGTATGGGGCGTGTACAAAAGTATGTTTATTTATTCTCATATTTCAAGCACCTTTTGAATGTTATATTGACCGCCATAGCTCATTGGACACTAGCATGTTTAAAGCATATCTCAATATCTCATCTGAATGTACTGTGACGTGTGTGTGCGCTGTCACCGCTCGATGTCTTTGAGATTCGTTTTTGGTTTCGGAGACATGTTATGCGGGAGCTTGTGTGCTAGATTACTTGTAGTGAATTGGATTTAAGATTTTTTTTTTGCAAATCTTTTTTTTTATAAATTAATGTATCTTGTATGTTAATTGACTTGAATTAAAAAAAAGTATTGTAATTTAATAAAAATCATATTTATTTATGTATTTTTTAATTCATTTTATTTAATTGTTTTGTAAGAGCACCCCTGCTGCTGTCTGTCCCTGCTGCCTGCTCCTGCTGCAACTCCTACTTACAATTGCCGCTGCAGCTGTTCCTGCCGCGCCCGCTCCGTCAGAGCTCCCAGCTGCACCCGTCTCTACGGCTCGCTCTTCAGACACGTAGTAACCAGGCTCACGGCGACAAGCGCGCACGCTGGCGGACACGTCTGTTGTTGTATGAAGCGCATCGTGGTGCTGCTGCTCCTGCTATCCTTGCTACCTGTCTGCTTCATACTGCTACTGCTGCTGTGCGGCTGCTGCCGCTGCTGCTTCATACTGCTACTGCTGTCGTCGGCTGCTGCTTCATGTCTTTGACATCTCTCTTCACTCGCATCTTTTACTGAACACTAAAACACTACAACAATATTCAACTGCTGCGCTTTGATACAGGATTATTGCGTTATTGCTACGGATGCTGCAGCTGCCTCTTGCTGCTGCTAGCTGCATCATACTGCTACGGCTGCTGCTTTGCTCTGTCATACTGCTACTAGCGGCTACTACTGCGTGCTGCTGCTTCATTTACTTTGCCATTTCACTTCACGGCTCTCTTTTACTAAACACTGAACAAGCTACAACAACATTCTACTGCCGTGGCTTTTTGATACAGATCATTGCTGTTATTATCTACGACGCTGCGGCTGCTGCTGCTGCTACTGCTGCTGCTAGCTTCATACGGCTACTGCTGCTGCTGCGCTCGCTCCATACGCTACTGCGCTACTGCTACTGCTGCTGCTTCATACCGCTACTGCTGCAGCTGCTCATTTACTTGCATCTCTTTTTCACTTGCATCTCTTTACTGAAACACTGGACATCTACGACAACATCCGACTGCTGTGCTTGATTCAGGATTATTGCTGTAATCTCTAAGGATGCTGCTGCTGCGGCTGCCGCTCTTGATACAGGTTATCGCTGTTATATCTGAGATTACTGCTGCTGCCTGCTACGCACTAGCTGGCAACCCACAGCTACTCAGAAGCTTTATCCTGCCTCCAAATGGATGCTGCCCGGCTGATTACGCCGCGCTGCGCTGACTTCGCACCTATGCTCCCAGTCGCGGCGGTCGTTCATGCTTAATCTCTCTACCTAAATTCCTTCTGATTCTATCAAATGCAGCTGGCCGAGTAGCTGCGGCTGAGCCGTCAATCCGGACTCCTAAGCAAAGGCATCCATACCTGTATTCTTCACTTTCTATCGCAGCTCCCCATCGTGCTGCCCTACCTGCAAGCGCGCCTGACGCTCTGACTCCGGCTCATCTTCCACGTACATGTCTGCCCCTCCTCGCAGCACTTCCCGCTCGCCTTCTATGGCTTACTCTGCATAAGCGGTCAATACTGCTCACTCCAACTTCATGCGTTCCGAACACGCTTTCCCCGACAATCCTACTATCCCGATTTTCTACGCTCCCAACCCAAGATTCTAAGGTAAGGGCGCCTGCAACCTCAATGGCCCTCTCCGCTATGTCTCTGCCCCTACAGGTCTCCGCCTCTACACGGCCCGTGCCCCTTCCGTGGGTTTTTTTTGGGGGTTCTTCCAGACCATTGGGTTGCCGGGCCATGGCCGTTAAACTTCCACCGGAGCATCTCCTCTGCCCTACACGAGATATTCCCAGTGTCGTGCCTGCGCGCCTGCGGAATCACACGGCAAGAGAAGAGGATTCTCCGCATGCGGTTAATCTCGACGTAGGTTGGAAGCATTACACAAAGGTCGCTCTTGTCACCCAACATAAGTTCCCCTGACCCTTTCACCCTTCATCCTCAAACATCAAAGACCAAGGCGCCTGCAACATAATAATAGCTCGCCCTACAGATCCATGAGGCATTACACTCACCCCCCGCTGCAAAAAGGAGATTTCAACGGACCCCTAATTCTCACTCCAGACAACCTTCCATGACAGCAACCTGGTTCAGAGCTCAACTAAGATCCCTACTGCCTCCTCTGCAATTTGTCTCCCACTCTATACAGCCCACTCCTTCAGGATAGGCCCTGCCACGCGCGCGGCCTCGCTGCTCCCCCCACACCTCTCTGCAACAGCTGCGCTGGTCCGCTTCGGCTTTCTCCGCCTACATCAGGCCAGACCCTCCGCTATCCTGGCTGCACAACTCTTCTGACTTCCTCTAAGCCCCAGCAAAGCAATAACGAAGCAAAGTAAGTGAGCAATAAGATTCTGGTGGCGGGCACGGCACTTACTCAAACACTTCCCTGCCGCAGCGTCTGACGAAACTGATGCAGCGCTCCACGATCCCAGCACGCAAAGATAACTCTGCCGCAGCGGCTGTCGATCGTGAGGCCGAGCGCTCACGTCCCAGCACGCTAAAAAAAAAATAAAAAAGTAAAAAATATAAAAATAATCGCTGCAATGCCGGCTGTCCAATGCATAATACGATAGCGGTCACAGCATATAGCGATAGCGGTCACAGCATATAGCGATAGCGGTCACAGCATATAGCGATAGCGGTCACAGCATATAGCGATAGCGGTCACAGCATATAGCGATAGCGATAGCGGTCACAGCTTAGCGATAGCGGTCACAGAATAGAGTAGTCACGACGTCTGTCCCCTCCAAACCAGGCTTCGAAAACTCCATCAACACGCAGCCTTTTTGGGGATTGTGCGCGCTCCATTGCAGGAGCCTTTCCGATCTGAAGGCCGCACCGGGACCTAGGGCGCCAAACCTCCTTTCAATAAAATACTCAAAACTTCCTGTTTTCTCGTCTCTCCAAATTTAAATGCAGCCAGCGAAAATTCATATTGGTAGACGTTAACCAAAATTACCCCCTCCAGGCCGGCTCGCATCCCCAGCCTATCGCTCAGCAGACGCCCCCTCCCAATCATCTGTACCGACTCGCCAGCTGCATAAAAACGGAGAAACTCCCACTCTCGGCCTCTGAAACCTTGCAACCACCGCCTCCCCTCCTCCTCCTCTTCACCCTGCCTCCAATCTGCCTTCAATCTGCTTCCCACTGCCAAATGCCGCCACCAGTGCCTAGGTCCCGGGGGATTGTGCGCGCTCCATCGCAGGAGCCTTTCCGATCTGAAGGCCGCACCAGGACCTAGGGCGCCAAACCTCCTTTCAATAAAATACTCAAAACTTCCTGTTTTCTCGTCTCTCCAAATTGAAATGGAGCGTTCAGCCGCTCTGCAGAAGAAACTCATTTGGAGCGCTTGTATCTGTGATCTTTAGCCAAAACTCATGACCCTAATGCAGTGACAAAATATTCAGATTACACACATGTGGTATTCCTGTTGTTCGTAATAAAAATAATGCTTAAAAACAGACATATAGACGGATCATATTGAAGATTTATAGTTTGTATACAGTACTTCTCTGATTGATGGACTTGTGACACAACAGTTGACACAACAGTTCAGAACGGGACGACCAACGTGCTGCAAATGTCCCAGTTCTTAGCAGAGATCTGACATATTAGCCGCATCCAACGGAGAACAGAACTATAACGACCACCTGGGGGCGCTCCACCGAGACCTGACAGAGGTGACTTTGTGCCTGTGTGCATGTATTTTCAGCCTTAAATCTAAATTGGTCAAGGTGCCACTGACAACATGCAGAAGTGAAAAATAGGAGCAAATGTATTTCTGCCATAAATGTGAAGAATACTTTTACTTGAGTAACTTTACAGGCGACCGATGTATATTTACTGGTATCATCGCCCTCTTGTCACATGATATAGGCTAGAATATACAGCTTCCGAATCTGTAGAGTTTGACCTTTTTATAAAAAAAATTTGGTATCATATTCCATCCATCCATCCATTTTCTACCCTTTAATCCATTTCTGGGTCAGGGGGGTGGCAGTCAGAGATGCCACCCAAGTCTCATAGCACCAGCCCCTCACTGACCCTCTGCAGGTGGTGAGTCCACAGGAGGACGGCTGCTCTCTGAGTGTGAGCATAGCCTTGATATTTCAGTGGGGGCTTTGGGCAAAGTGGGGTTAAGTGTCTTGCCCAAGGACACAACGACAGCAGTCATCAGTGGGAGTCGGTGGAGAAGGTGGGAATTGAACCCACGACCTTCTGGCCTTAAGGCCAATGCTCTACCAACTGAGCTACTGTCGCTCCATATTGGTATCATATTGTCATCCAGAAATAATTTGGATTAGAAATAAAAAAATATAATGATTGAGAAGTGACGAGGGAAATCGGGATCAGATAAATTGCACAGCACACATTTTGAAAAAGCTTGTACTCGATTGTAATTTCTCATAAATCTAATCAAGATTTTTTTTTTTTTTTTTATAATTTTTGAAATGCAGTGTACCAAAATAACCCACAGAGGATTGCATTGCGGATAACCAAAGAAAGTAATCCATGTAATTAATACCAATATGACTTTATTGATTGAAATGGGTTTTGAGTTTCAGCTTCCTGTTATAAATCCAGCAGTTATAGAACGTTTTCCCGGTCAAAAATATTGTTTGGCCAAAATATATTTCATCCTAAAAGATAAAAAAGCTATTTTCACCACATCCATAAAGCCGTATGAATAGTATGATAACATGAGAAAACGTCTACTTTGCACATCAGTTATTAAACACATTTTGGCTTAAGAAATATATAATTTACAACATTAGCTCCATGTCAAAATTAAAGTTAAAATAGACTTACTTTTTGGGACACTTTTTCTCCTGCATGGTTATGCATAGACGTCAGAAAAGAGGCAAAAAAAAAAAGGCAGACCCAACTTGGGACCGGACTGGCTCTACACTGGACCGCAAAACACAGGTGCAAAACATGAAGGAATGCCTTAACTCCAAACAGACGACTAAAGATTAAAAATGACAGTCTAAACACGCGCCGGGACAGAACAAAAGGCCCCCCACGCGCACGCCTGTCCCGCACCGGCCGGGATGCTCTCTGTGAAAATGTGCTCACTCACAGGCTGCTGCAGAGAGAGGGGGGAGGGAGGGGGAGGGAGGGGGAGGGAGGGGGAGGGGATGGGGGAGGAGATGGGGGAGGAGAGAGAGAGAGAGAGAGAGAGAGAGAGAGAGCTGGAGCAGGTGGGAGTGCGATGATGGTGCTGGGGGGGACTGGAGGTTAACGGGAGAAAGTGTTTTATTAGCCGACCCATTTCAAGATGAGGTGTAGATCAGTGAGTGGGAGGGGCTTATGGGTGTGAGGTGGGGGGGGGGGGGGGGGGGGGGGGGGGGGGGGGGGGGGGGGGGGGGGGGGGGGGGGGGGGGGGGGGGGGGGGGGGGGGGGGGGGAGTGGGGCGGGGGGGGGGGGGAGGGGGGGGGGGGGGGGGGCGGGGGGGGGGGGGTGGGGGGGGGGGGGGGGGGGGGGGGCGGGGGGGGGGGGGGGGGGGGGGGGGTGGGGGGGGGGGGGGGGGGGGGGGGGGGGGGGGTGGGGGGGGGGGGGGGGGGGGAGGGGGGGGGGGGGGGGTCTTTGATTAAATCCTCCCATTTAGACCACTGCCCTGTAGAGGTTACCGAGATTTATAAAAGATCAAATCAATTGATTTTGCTTAGAAATCTCAACTGTAGTCGTTCTGGTGGACCCCACACAATTGGTGATTTTGTCAACAGCAGATTAGAAAATCAAATGAAGGAAACACCTGGGAAACACATTAATAAAACACATGAGAATCATTTGTCCATATAATAATGGGTGAATCCATTAGCACACGTAAAGACATTTTAATTCAGGCCCATGTACCACTGAATTATTTAACTTTTTTATGTTTTATTTTGGGCAACTTGGAACTGTGTATTAAACATTTTATCAGCCTTTATCAATACAAGCTTTGTATGGCATTATACAAAATTTGGCAGTAAAAATTATGACTTACTACTGTTTGACACAATTATCATCAGCTATAGGACAAAGAGAAAATGTTAATTTAGCCGCTTACTTCAGACATGCCTGAGTTTTTAGTCTCGTCATAGCAACCTTAGTTTGAATATATATTTCACATAATTTTTTTGTCATAACAAATGTTCTTACAGACAAAAAAACTTTCACAAGATACAAAAACGAATTTTTCAACTTGTCTTTTCATAAATCACAAACTTGTGGACAATCACACGTCATTATATATTTCTCTCTAAATCAGCCATAATGGCCTGTTAAACTTAAATCCATCCATTACCTCCAGTCTTGTTTTACCAATCACTTCATACATCTCTGTACTTACCCCATCTCTGTCACATCTCTTCATCTCTTGACCTTCTCTTTCCTGTCACCTCTCCCACCTAGGCTCCTAACATCCTCATCTCATCAGTGTAATGTCTCCTTAAGCCCCGCCCCCTCCCTGCACACACACACACACACACACATCACCCAAGGTCAGCGCTGAAGGGCAGGCGTGTGCGTTGTTTGCTATGCACAACATTTACCTCTCTGCCGCTTCCAATAGCCCCGATTATGGCTGCCCATATCCCCCCATTTTCAAATTTGCCTCTCCTGCCTTCGCCATATGTTGCGCACTATCTGGTCCGTGGCCCCAAACACACCCACAAGTCGAACCTTGAAATGACATCCATGTGTGTAGCGGGAGACGGATCACCTGACAAACACGTGGAGCAGAGCGCGCATGTGGCTGCGGCGCGCTTGTTTGCGTGAATGTTGATCAGGTCATGCATCCATCATCGCTGTTTGAGGTTGAGAGAGAGAAGAGGGGGAAAGCATGGCAAATATGAGATGAAATAGTCATAACGATAATGCATGCGTTTGGAATGTGTACCGTTTGTGTTCAGGTACTGTTTTCTGTCCCGATGGAGATGTTGTGTGAGTGCGCGGCCCGAAAAAATGTGCCGAAGCCCCAGGGAGCCGACTGGAGCCAGAGAAGGTAGCTTACAGTAGTGCCAAGCTGTCAAAAGAAAGTGTGGCATCAATTAATCATTTGAAGAAGTTACCGCGGCCGAATCTGTGTGCAGGATTAACACATTATTTTAATTGTTCCATTGTTCAACGAATAAATCAAACTCATAATGGTGCGGGATATTGTCCATATGTGTCCTTCTTACCAAAGTGAACGTCCATCGATTGACTGATTTAGGGAACTGAATTTCCCCTCTCATGCCATTATACTAAATCATTCATATCAGACAGCATCTCCTCTATCAGGCTGAGAGCAAGTGGACACTCTTAAAGGAATAGTTCACCGTTTTTACATACTGACATATGTTCTTACCTTACCTTAGACTAGTTAATACGTACCTGTGTGATCTTAGTCCGTGCGCTCTGTCATGCAAACGGAGCAAAAACGGGAGGACAAATGCAGCCTCCTCTGTATACTGTGTAGCACCAAAAGGTAGCTCCCGCTAGAAGCTACCAAACTCTTCCAAGTGTTCCCTATTAAATGTATATAGTTACGTGACGTGTTACACTGCAAAGTATAGTAACACAGAAATGTAACTGTCGATTTTCTCAGCGGATAAAACGGGTACTATATTGTGAGGCGTAGTAATCTGAGGTGCGCTACGTCCGCGCACTAACTTCTGTCCGGAGACTTGTCTCTCGCTCACTTCCGTCAATAGAAGCAGCGTGACTTGTAGTACAGAGAGAAGTTAGTGCGCGGACGTAGCGCCCCTCAGATTACTACGCCTCACAATATAGTACCCGTTTTATCCGCTGAGAAAATCGACAGTTACATTTCTGTGTTACTATACTTTGCAGTGTAACACGTCACGTAACTATATACATTTAATAGGGAACACTTGGAAGAGTTTGGTAGCTTCTAGCGGGAGCTACCTTTTGGTGCTACACAGTATACAGAGGAGGCTGCATTTGTCCTCCCGTTTTTGCTCCGTTTGCATGACAGAGCGCACGGACTAAGATCACACAGGTACGTATTAACTAGTCTAAGGTAAGGTAAGAACATATGTCAGTATGTAAAAACGGTGAACTATTCCTTTAAAGCTGTGGTACTTAACTTTCAAAACAGTGAAAAAGCAGACCAAAAATCCATCAAACTAGTTCCTTGCTCTCAAAACTATTTGGTTCTATCACTGTAGTTTCCACATGCATGTATGTTTGGTTTCATGACCGAAATGAAAGGACTACCCTCACTCAGCCAATCATGTCTCAGTCCAAAGCATCAAATGGTGACTCACGAGGGGTATTTCATCATTAAAAAACCATGCAAAAGATATGACACGTTTTCTACAGGAAAAGGGCATGTTGTGGTCTGATTTGTCCACAACATTTTACTTTTACAAGACTCTTTTTGTTGGGACAAACACAATGTATTATTCATGAAACATGAAAAGCTTTAAAAGCTTCGGTTGGCATTATCAAAATCACTACTTTTTACTGTTTGGGGAATATCGCCAAGAGCATTGGACCAACAAGAGAAAATTCTCAGCTGACAATATTTATCTTCTGGACGAGGGTTTGGACACAAAGATATGACCAGGACCCTTCAGTGAGTAAGAAAACATTGTTAAATAATAAAGCTAAATACAAAATTATGTTCGTTATTTGTATTTCTTCATCGTCAAATGCATAACTCACAGACCATAGACTCCCACTCCCAATGGACCAATGGTTTCAATGGGATCTGATTATTTGATATGTTGTAACCAACAACTTCGTAAAATCCTCGGAGACGACTGCTGCTGTGATTTAGGGCTGTACAAATATAAATTGAATCTAATATTCATGTCAAACCCCCAGGAGACTTGCGGCACGTGTGTGAGTGGACACGGCGGTGACAGAAGTGAAGTGTGTTGCAGGTCATGAATCTGGTGAGTGGGCAGGAGCCGTGTGCAGGATGTGAGGTTAGAGAATCTTTGTCAATCCCTCATGCCAGCCTGGCCCCATGTTGAAGGCTGGGATGGACCATAAATGAATACGATGCTTGGGTAAAGTGCAGAGGCTAAGGCATTTTTCTTGAAGGTGTGAAGGACATGTTATTACACTGTGTCCAGAGGATGCTTAGGATTCTGTCTGCACTCCAGGCAGCATAGAGTTCATATTGCGGGTGCAGAGGTCTTGTGTTGCCTTTGGATACAATAAAGACATCCAGAGACACAAGATCAATAACCAGTTTAATATGAATGTTACTGAAAGAATCTGAAAGAAGGAAGCTGTAAAGACAGTAAAAAACAGAACTACATTTGTACTATCTATTACAAGCCATTTAAAACTACTCACAATATAGTGCTAATACGAGAGCCGGGGTTAAATAGCAGCGCTTAAAGTCGGCTTGTAACATAACAATAACAACTCACTTCACTTTCTTAAGTAGTTAAGTGAGATTAGCAAACACTATGTGGCCTTCTCCTTTGCTTCCATTTGGATCGGCATGTCAATACAATCTTGGAAAACTATCAATGTACCAAAATGTACCAATCTGTTGGATGTGGGCCAACTAATCTAATTGAGTAAACTGATATTGGTCAGTACAAATCTGCATCGGTTGGCACTACTGGACTAGATTGGTCATTCTTACAAATATTTGTAAGAATAATTGGCGCTATGACCAGTATAAATTTGGTGAAAACATAAGCATTTAAAGATGTATTGTTTTAACCAAAAGATCTGTCGGACACATCCAAAAAAGTGGTGAAATAAATCTGGAGATTTAGTGATTTTGGATTCCCTTCCTCTGTTTACTGTGAATAGGTCTGTTTTGTTAGTATAATTAATATGGTTCACCGTTGTCCCCAGACAGTTGCCCTGTACATGTCGAACAGCCCAAAATAGTAGCACCCCACCAACCTCAACCTCTGACCTGGCCCCCTCTTTGGAATTCAACAACTTTAGGAATTTGTGTTCCCCTTAGATGATGCATTAAAATAAGATACATACAGTGTATTGTCATGTTAAAAAGTGCATGTTCACAAGTTGATGATTGAAAACGATCCACTGCGATATATAGAGGGTGACCATTCACTGCTCAAAATGACTTTTCAGTAATGGACATAGTCAAAGGCACACTTCCATGCACTTCTGAACACAACATGGCTTTGTTGCACATTAACAAGATCAATATTCGATATCTGCTGGTCCACAAAACACAGGCAGAGGACAGAGCACAAAAAACAATTAGAGCTGGACTTATTTCTGATGATATCAACAAACTCGGACCAGAATAATGACTTCATGCAGCAAAGTGTCCGTTGCCCCCCCCTTCTTGCTTTGCCCCACTGGTCCCAACCGTCGCTGTGATATGTAGAATGCAATAACCCCACGTCTGACCATGAGACTGTCTCCTGTAAGGCTGACTCAGCTGTTACCGTGTGTGTGTGGCAGCACTTCTATCACCCCCCCATCCACCCCCACCACCCCTTCTCTCCCCTCCCTCCTCTCCCTCTCTTCCACTCTACCTCTGCAGTAGCTCGCTTCTGCCCGTGCCGGCTGGAGACTTCGGCTTCCGTGCTTCTCCTCCGCTGCTGCTGCTGCTGCTGCTACTGCTGCTTTGGCTTATACAGCATCTTGTTACGTGCCTATATTCGTCAGTGTCTCCCAGTGTGGGGGGTACCGCAACAGCCAACCCACCAGCCAGCCTTCCTGCAACTGCCCGCTTTGCAACTGCTGCAACACAGCTTAATTTCTTGCCTTGCCGGATGAACATCAGACAGCCTTGGAGAACACACCGATTTGGATGCGGCGTTTTTGTTGCACTTGCCATTTGTGCCCAGACATCTACCCAGCCTGGACAGCAGAGAGAAGGGAGAGCCCCATTCAAGAATTCCTGCCCGTTCATTGCTGGGACAGAGTGCAGAGGAGGAGAGAGGGAGGGTGGGTGGAGGACTTGAGCGGTGCAGTTTAGCGTCCCAATACGATCAGAGCTGCACAGACCGCAACTCGCAAACTGGAGAGAATTGACAAGAGAAAAAAATATTGACACAGTGCCAGAGATTGAGGTTGTGTCATGGCGGCGGCGGACAGCACTGGTTCGAATGTCTCTAGACGACTGAGATCGGGGGACCTACTTCATGCTGGTTTGGCATTGGCACTGCTACTGGGTGAGCATAACTTCCACGCAGCGTACCATCGGCACGCAATGGTAGAATGGCTGTGGTTAGTTTTGGTCGATGGAACTTCGGTAAGGGTTAGGTTGGGTTACTTGGTAAAGTCAGTCAAGGTTGGCAAACTTGAACTTGGATTGAAATTGAATTGGGAGGCCTTGGGGTATCATCTGTGTCCTCGCAAAGCTGTGGTGACTGATCGATACTATTGGGGAAAAGGCATTAGTCATCACTTTGGAGAGTTTTAAAGAGGTTTGGGATTATCTGGGATCAGACAAGGGAGTGTTTTGACTGGAAGTGACGTACAGTGGTGCAGTGGTAACTTGCTGAAATAATACTGTGTTGTTGCTTGTTATTTCCTCTACCTCGCTTCTGTTAAATGACTATTACTGTACATTTGTTGTTTCAAATGATTAATTATTCATTGTACACTACAATACAATGCAATAAAAAAGATACAATTTAATTATATAAGTGAATATATACAATTTGAAAAAGAAATAGGTAAAAGTAAAACATGATTTTATACTAATGCTTTTGTGGTTCCTTGATGAAATTAAAAGCCTTATACTTTGCTGTGTTTTATGGGATGTATCCATGTGTTTGACAGGGACATGGTAGAGTGACTAAACAAGCAATTTGCAATGCATAGAGAGTTCAGAGTAAGAGATCATTTTTCAACTTCCCGTCTCTGGGCAGGACTTTTCAACAGTAGTATGCATTACTCACTTGGGAAGCCATCTAATTTTGTTGGAGATAAATGCAATTAGGGATGAAAAGAATACTAAATCTACTGATAAAACTGCCTTGAGATGCATGCAGGTGAAGAATCATTTGCTGATTGGATGTATTTAGAGAAAAGTGGATTAAGGAATGCCAGATTTAAGTTTAAAAAATAATTATAATTGTTTCATTTAAATAACTAATAATCAAAATTGCGAAATCCAAGGATTAGGAAAAAATAATGAGGGTAAAAAATTATCAGACAAAAGGCAAATTTAAAACTATATATAAATCCCAAATCTGTCCTTGTTTCTGGATTGAATCATCATTTGTAATCGTAAGGCACTCTCGCTCGAATTGACTTGGTCCCGCCCCTGTCATGTGCTAGAACATTCCCCACCAGCCAAAGACAACAATCAACCAACGACACCATATTTTAACCTATGCTATTGAACAAACCCCTATACTGTCACTCAACTGTAGGGTGTGGGTAAAAGCAGTGGATCACCACCAGTGAGAAAAACCGTTCCCAATGCAAATAGTCGTTAGCAAGTCCTTGTCTTATACTTATTGAGAATACAAGATTGTGGCTGGTTTTGTCGTCTTTCCCCACTTAGGCATGTGCACCTGCAGCTCACACCAGGTGGCCGGGGAAAAAAATCAAGGACAATAAAAGAGGTCATGATTTACAAGCTTGTTATTTATACGCTACTATTTGCACTGCACTTTACAGCCGACTTTACCGATGACTCAACGCAAGGTGTGTGCTTTTTCATCATTGCTCTATGCTGGCTCAACATTTTGGGAATTGCTGTTTTTTTTTTTTTTTTTTTTTGAGTGCAGTGCAGGACATTACTTTCAGCAGATTAGAAACGACCATTTGATCATGGTGGGCATTTTTCAAGGTCGATTTTGTTTAGAGACTTTAAAAGCCCATCCACAAGAGAACAAATGAGATTTAACTACATGATGTTTTAGCTGCTCGTTTTTAAAGATGTGTTTCCAATTAATTCAAACTTTTTTTCTTCCTTACTGGTAAACAACTTTCCAATATTTCTTTAAAACTGCACCAAATCATACCTATAATTGTTTATGATATGTCTCTGATGCCACAGGTGGTTTTAAAGCTGGAGTACCTAACTTTAAAACTATAGACAAAAAAACAACTGCATTTAAAATCATTGTAACCAGTTCTTATTTTAAAAAATGTTTTGGTTCTATCAGTGGTTTTCACATGCCCGTATGTTTGGCCTCTATCACACGGATTAGCTTTTTCAGTGATAAGAAGTACCAGCCAATCAGCTCTCAGTATTTAGAAAAATACAAGACAGGAGATTAGGGTCTGATTTTAGAGTATCTGCAAGTGTTTCTTTTGTGTATATAATATTTATAATTTTGAATTATGTTAATGTAACTCAAGGTTATTATGTATTTTTGATAATCTACTTTTCTTTATTGTACACTTATTTGCTCGAAATAAACATGGCTAGATTTGTTCACATAATGTTACTTAACACAATCTATAAAGATTCCTGCTACTGTGTTGCCCAATGAAACTTTATCAGCCTTTGACCTTCTGGTAAATATAGACTCATCTGCAAAGTGACATTGGCCACACCTTTGTTTAATATTGTTTTTTTCTAATTGTAAATTTCTCCTTTGTGAGATCAATGAAGTTTATCTCATCTTTTATAAATGTGATGGTCATGGCTTACAATCCTTTTTACAATGTTATTTTTTTTTTTATGTTTTTTTTTTCAAGCATTTACTATAGCATATATGGAGTGTAGAAGTAAAAGGTCTTTTTAATGATATTCTAAAATCATGAATTTTGGTCTGTATTATTGTTTATCTAATTTGGCAAACTAGACTTTTGAAATGGCAGTGACTCAGTTGGTCGAGCATTGGCCTTTAAGCTTGAGGGTTGTGGGTTCGAGCCCACCACAAAGACCTTGGGCAAGACACTTAAGCCCACTTTGCCTGAAGCCCCCGCTGAAAGATCGAGTCTGTGCTCTCACTGACAAAGCAGTCGTCCTCCTGTGGACCTACCACCTGCAGGAGGATCAGTGAGGGGCTGGTGTTCTGTGAATTGGATGGCATCTCTGACCGTCACCCCCTCCCTGACCCAGAAATGGATTAAGGGGAAGAAAATAGATGGATAGATGGACAGACTTTTAAAATTCACTCCCTGCTCAAAGTAGCTTTTAGAGTGCATGTCTGAGTAATACAAATTCCACTGCATTCATGATGCCATTTATCTTCAATGATCCTGGTTTTCACACACTCTCAGTTCGTTACTTGATTCAATTTGTTGTATTTGTCTATAGCCTTAAATCACAAAATAAGTCGTCTCGGAGGACTTAACAAAGCAATGGATTCGCCAACAACAGATCAGGGAATCAAACAGTTCAAACACAGAAAATGCCATCTTATCAAACACAAGTTGCATGTAATTGTGAAATGAATTAAATGACCTACACAAATAAATATAAAATGAATTCTTTGTCTTCTTCACTCATCACTTTCTTTATTAGTCTTTTAATTTGTCTTTGTTAGAAACGACTTGCTGGCTATTGTGATCGACTGACATATCTGCATTTTATTGTAACGGCCGTTTTGGGACAGGCACAAATCAAAACCATACTGAGCTCTTACTCTACATCAGCAGACCTGTTTCTCCGTAATAAAATCAATTCAGAACAAGAGTGAGCGTTTGCCGTCGACTAAAGCTCTACACCATACAACAATCTTTAAAGTCCAGACCTGCAGCAGTAGCAATATAAAAAGACCTTGTCAGCTCTGGATCCGGTGCATGACTTTCTTGCATAAATATAATAACACAATTGAAACATTGCTTTCATGCCAAAAAAAAAAAAGTTACCGTCCCAGCTCAGTAATACTGTAAAATAACTGCCGATGTAGTCAAATTTCCTGTATAACCTAATATCAAATCTGGGCCATGTTTTTGCACCAACGTGAACAGAGCTTTTTGCCCGCTGGGAACTGGTAAGAAATGTCCATGAGAACTGAACAGCGAAACTAGGCCATTGTAGGTTAAAGAATAGAACTGGTGAACAGTATTTTTTGTACATGCTGCTCTTAATGCGTGACCAATTAATTCTCTGGTCCCCACATTTGTTAATTCGACTAATGAACCACCCTTTGAATTCACCTTGAAGAGGACATTGCACTCAGCTGACCCCTGTAGTGTCCATGCTGTCACCATTATAACCATCCATTACCGATATATGTGCCACCATAACTCTTCTTTATACCTTCATTCAATCTATCTTTCCACACTTAGATCACTGAAGGAGGTGATGCTGTCCTCAAACATGTCTCCATGGGTTTCAAACTGAAAATACATTAACCCTATCATCCCTGGCCTATTTTTATATACGAGAAGAAGAAAAAAAGTCACCTTCGCAGTCAAGCAAGGACAATGGAACACGCACGAACAAGCAGATGTCGTGGGCTCTGTTAGGAGTCCTGATTCTGATATTGATGTTTCCCAATTGGGATGGAGAGATACTTGATAGTAGGGCTAAAAATACCATGTACTATGTCTCACAAATAGGGACACACACACGCACACACACATTGGGGCCCTCACTGATAGCCGCTGCTGGGACTGGAGAGGTGCCGGAGGAAGTGGATGAATGGCTGGGAAGTGGAGTGATAGTAAAACAGGGGAGTAGAACAAGGGGGCAGGGAGGTGTGAAGTTTATTTCTGGATTCTTAGAGGGGTGTTTATCAAAAAGACTCCAGACCTTTATCTGCACTGGTGTAGCAGATGGGGTGACGGAATGAATGGATCTGGATATAACAATTACATTAAAATAACTTTATTGTGAGGTGTCCAATCATCTCAAATGGTTTAGACGGATTGATCATTTATTTTCTTGTCATATACATTTACAATTAAAATGAGCAGGCAATATGTCGAGGGACTATTTTTGACCACTCTTTTTTTGTTCGGTCCTGAGACACACACTCGTGGCCTAGAAAATCTGCTGCCTTCTGTCACCAACGACAAGAGTGAAACTAGTGTTAACCTTATTCCCAGAACCTCCCTGCAGAGAACCAGGGGTTTAGCCGCATCCTGTTTTAGATGTACTTCATGCCAGGACCATTGTCATGTGGAGAACCCCAAGGATCAGTCCACGGACCTATAATATTAACCACGGGTCAATGCTGCATTACCACAAAGTGTCTAATCATTTACACTATATGTAGATCTCTCTTTGTGCCTCCCAGCTGAAAGATGAGGGACATTAAGTGAAGTTGCATGTTCTCCCTGTGTTTGAGAAGGTTTCATAGGTGCTCGCTTCGGTACGCCTACCTCCAAAAACAAGGTGGTCAGTTTTGAGTTGCAGTTACTCAACTTTCGATCCGTCTCCATCATTTTGTTGAAAAAGATACCAATAAAGAACTTTAGTGTATGCCCTGTCACAAAGACAAGTTGTTATGTCAGTTTGTCGGTCTTTTTTTTCTTTTTTCTGCTACATTTGTAATACATGTATTTGAATATTGACTGAGTAGAATTGCATCCATAATTTTTTGTTGCCTTCATTAAAATAATATCCTCAAACTTTCTCTATTAATAATGTATAAACACAACATTAACAGCAGCGCAGTACATTAACCATACCATAAGTGAGGCCGGGAATAGATGCTAGTTTGCACGCAATATTGTCAATTTCCAATCACAGTCAGATGAGGTGAACGCCATTCTAATAGGGTCACATTTTCCATTTGGACAAACTGAAATTCAAGATTGATTTGGACTAATGTAACTCGATGCTGTATTTACTTACTTAGTCGGAGTGTGTTGAATCATTGGGAAATGGAATAAATAGGAAATGGTTGTGAATAATGGTGGTAAAGTTTAGCAGTTTTTTTGTTAAAAATATAGATGTTATAGATGTTTATAATTTTATTTTTTATTTAACCTTTATATAACCAGGAAAATACCCATTGAGATCGAGATCTCTTTTTCAAGGGAGTCCTGGCCAGGAGGTCTGTAGCACACGTCAAGGGCACTTTACAGAACAACAATAAAACAATACAATAATACAACAAAATACAAACAGTGAAATTACAAAACATTTACATCATCCAAAAAAGTAAAGGCAACAGTGACAAGTTAAAGTTTAAAAGCATGAGCACTTGGCAATGGTTGAGAGTTGTTTTTCCTTGAGGCTCCAAGATTCCAAAAAGCTTCTTGGCAAAACATAATATCCACAAAATTACTAAGAATTGTTGAGTTCAAACACAAAACTAACCATTACTTCAACACAATCACCCGTATAAAAATGAAAAAAAAATGCATTGTAATGTATTTGAATCTTCTTCTAGTTTTTTGTGTTTATAACTATTTTTTTCCTCTATTTATCTTTAGTTATATGTAGGATTTTTTATTTATACAGTATGTGAATGTACTCTGTATGGATCTGTATCTAAAGTTCAGGATTACATTTCTTTGCCGTTTGCAGTTTAAACAGTTTTAACACTTTAGATTGCGTGTGCCAGAGAGTCATCCAAAGACTGCGACACATGTATAAGTGAAACAAGATCCTGAGCAGATCTGTGTGTGATGAGATATAAAAATAGGCCCCCAGTGTGCGACACCTACACCAGCAGTGAGTTCAAAACATGGGCCTGACCAGCGCTCCGAAACACGAGACCCCTCAGCCCTGTCAGGGAACAAAATTGGAACACCGTGGAGTTGGATTTTGCCTTCAAATGTATGCAAGCAAATACTGTTAAACTTTTAATTCAGTTGAAGTGTAGGCTAATGCAAAAATACTGCATCAAATACAAAGTCAGGAAGCCTTGTATCTCAATGTTGCAAATGTCTTTCAAAAAATGCTTGTGGAATAAGACACAGTCCCTGTCCAGACAAAGAAACAACATACAGTTATGAGGTTGTATTTTGTAAAGACGGAACCGGCTCTGTAAATGTATCCGTACAAGCTATAGCTGGGCTGAGAGGTGTAGGGTCAGAGAGTGTGTGTGCTTTGTGTTGTGGGAGTGAGAGGAGTTGAAACCAAATAAGTAACATTTTCCAACCCTGTATCAAACTGGTTTTTGTGTATTATTGTTTTTTGCCTTCTTTACATAAGTTAAAATTGACTTGTATGAATATAAATAACGTACTTTATCCTCCGCCTTCCATGTGCCTGCAGGTGTATGGAGCGTTGGAGGGCTGGAGGTCTCCACGGGGAAAGTGACCACACTGGAAGCAATGAACGGCTCAACGGTGCTGCTGCCTTGCACTTACTCCTCCTGCATCGGCATCAAGAACCTCTACTTCAACTGGACCAAAAATGGAACCCTGGTCCTGCACATGCATGAGTATTTCTGAATGCAATCTCATCAGAAGGTGTTAAGTGAAAACTGTGTGTGTTCCATTGCAGCTCTGTGAGGCCGTGATTCCCATCGAGAAAGTGGAGCCCAAAGTGTCCGTCTACCATGAGCGCGTGGAGTTTGTGGGCACATCCAAAGACAACAACATCTCCATCCTGCTGTGGAACATCACCTTTGAAGATGAGGGGGATTACGTCTGCTTCGCCCGGAACCCAAAGGAGAAGAACCGAAACCACAGCGCAATCTACACTCTGATAGTGGTGGAACAAAGTAGGTTGCATGAACTATATTGACGATCTTAATAGATAGACACACAAAAAACAACTGAGGCAAAAATTGTCTAATCAGAATGGACAGTGATGCACCCATGATTTTACCGGCTAGGTTCTGCAGTCTTTGTACCTTTAATGTATACCTAACCAACTAATTATTCCATGCCTCAGCATCCACTCAATTCTTGTGAAAGGAGACATTTTATGAAAATGCACTTTTTTGAGCTGTTATACAATATCACAACATTGTTTCCTCATCTCAAACAGACCTGGAGTTGTTTTTTATCCATCCATGCTAGCATCAAGAACTTCTGACGCAAACATGTAACTCCACCCCTTCTGTCTAAAAGCTCATATCAGTCCTGTAATAGTGTGATGTCATTGTACTTCTATGACATCACACTCAGCAGTGTCTGCCTTTTAAAAAGACAAAATATATTATATTAATACTATATTATACAATATTACACGTTTCCATACGTTTTGATAATGTCCCAGGTGAAATGACGCTCTGTTCAATGTGAAGCCGGTAATTTTCAATTTGGGCAAAAAAAAAAAAAAAATACACAAATTCTACACTTTCCTCTGGTGGTTACCCAGGGATAGGGCAGGCCAATGACATGATCTACCCTTGAGACTTGTTTTACCATAAGATATTATATTATTTCACATTCATGTAATGACTACATAAAATGTATCATTATAATTTATAAGGGCCAAAGATAATGCATCATATTTGCTTTAAGGTAATTGTCATGAGGTTATGAAGGATTTTGATGATATCGTTTTTTGAGTGCCTCAGTTCATGTTTTACATCTGATAATAACGTATATTTAGTGAAAAGTTTATTTTTGGCTCAGCAAATCTTTTATTTATTTTTCTGTGGAAGTCCATTGTGTGGAAATGTACTTAATTTCAATTAAGGTTTGTTTTATAAAATATTTTTTTACTGGGATAACTAACTTTATAACCACAAAGTATCTCAAATAAAACATGAACATTTGACTCTTTCAGTTGGAACAAACATGTGTTTTTAATGAAAAAGTTATGCACCCCAGCTTGAGTTGTCATTACTTGATTGACTTACTTTAAAGCTGCACTAACTGACTTTATTTTCGTATTCATTACAAAAATGCTATCCATGTCCATGCAGTGGATTGGGATGTACGTCCTTTTGAAGAAAAAGTAGCGCAGATTTGTGCTGGCGTGACATTATATTTTAGATCGAGTTTTGATGAAACAAGGAAGAGAATGTTTTTCGGGTCGCAGATTGTGACCAATCACAGCGGACCACTAGCCCCCACTTTCGTGAGAAATCTACAGGTCCGTTAGCACAGACAGCTGAGTTAGCACAACAAGCGGCGGAGCTAACCTGAAACTTGTCTTCGTCACCGGTTACTGCTTACACAGCGAGACAGGCATCCAAAAGAAAGTCCCGTTCCTCCGCGCTTCCCGGTTCTATCATTCTATGGTCACTCCATCCACGTGAAAATCCATGTCCATGTATTATCCATATTAGGAGACGCTAGCTCCGTCAACAACAGTGGGTATGTGTGGGGGCGATAGCTTCGTGGGTGCGGGGACTCGGGGAGGGGAGCAGAAAGAGAGAGGCCAGCGAGTCCGCGGCTTCTAAATCCCAAAGTCAGTTAGTGCATCTTTAAGACTTGACTGACGCTCCACATTGGCTCAGAATATAGAACCAAGGAAACACTAACAAATGAAACCAAAAGGACAAATGTAAAGTATCAGCTTTGCACTTTTTGAAGTGTAACCTCGTGTTCTTTCAGTGAGGTTGGTGGACAACACGCTGACCACGGTCATTGTGTCTGTGGTGGGCGGAGTCATCGGCCTCATGATCCTCATCATGGTCATAAAGGCTCTGGTCATCCACTTCCTCTGCAAAGGCGATGAAAAGAAGTAAGTCGGACAATCACATCATTTCGAACGTACGAAGGCCGTGATCATTGCTATATTTAAATCTCATCCATGTTCAGAGAAAGTCTTGTTTAATTTGATTGAACAAGATTGATTTGAACCAATCATGCAGCTAATATGGATCCCGAAGATGCCCAGACACGCACCAGGTCTGCTCGTTCATTTCAGTGGGACATCACCTCCCATCAGGCCCATTACTCTCACTAGATGACATGGACAATTAAAGTGTATTATCTATTGTATTTCTTGTTTTGTTTTCTCAGTTATGAAGACACAAACAATACATACTAACAGGCAACATAATATATGCTCACAGGTATATGCATGCCAACGATGAAACAATGGGGACCCAGAAGTTTATCAAGTTATTAAACAGTTTTTGGTTTTTTGAAGTGTTGTATATCTATGGAGGAGCCCCACAACTTTTGGCAGTTAATTCTACGATCAACATTCTCATCAGTGTGATGTAATTTGTACATTTCTGCACAAACAAACACAATGTTTAAGCCGTGCCCCTGGGTACAAGCTTTTCTGCTTAAAGTCACAATGGGACTTTGATATTTGTTCAAATTAATTACATTTTTGTAGAGCCCTAAATCACAACAGCAGTCGAACATAAAAAAGGAGCTATTGCCTCACAGGAAGTGGAATGACCATTTGTCAAAAAATGCTCGGGTTCAATCATCAACTATTTCTAATTGTCTACATCCGTCTGGCTGTGCGTTGAATTTACAGTGTATTCTGATCCATAGAGTGAGGTCAAAATGCTGCAAAGCAATGTCAACCAGAGCTTTGCTGTTGGAGATGACCTTGGCAATGCATAGGAAGCGTCCTGTAGCTTAAGGGTACAACGTAGAGATGACTGATACTGAACCCAAAGGATATTGGAGATGATCCAAAGGCATTTTTGTATTTATATTTTTATATGAGAGTGGGTTCTGGTTAAAGATGCATCATTTACGGGTCATGTATGAAGTGAACTTTTTTTCATGCAGATCAGAGGCAGTTTTACTGGTACACCAAAATTGTAAAGCGCTTTGTATGACCCTGGTCGGGGAATTGCACTATATCATCATCATCATCATCATCATTATCATTTCTTTGTCTAGACTTGAGGTCCACACTAAAACAAGAAACACAGATGAACACAAAAATACAGAAAAGCTTCTAGAAGACAGCTACACCTGTTTTTCCATAAAGGAGACTAGGAGATATCGCACAAGGCAAGACCTGGGGTTCAACAGAGCCATCACCGAAGAGTTCTCAGAGTCATAGAGGCGACAAATACATTTGAGATCAAGATGAAGATGAAGAGATCCTTTATTCATCCCACAGAGGGGAAATTTTATTTTTACATCACGAGTTACAGAACAGTAGGAATCAGGAGCACACAACACAAATTAAGTGAATATTAAAGGTATATAGGAGGATTTTCTACTTCTGGGTGGATCATCAAGACTATTGGTCCTCCCAATTGTCAATCATTCTGGTGATACGTGCTCGTCAAATAAGACCATAGTTTTTTCAACAAGTGGAGAGGCGGTTCTTTCCTAAAATTTGGGGAAATCCTCCAATATACCTTTAAGTATAGCACAAATTTCAACAATATTTTAAAAAAATCATCTTTGTGTAAAAAATACTGAATACTTCATTACATGTCTGTTTTAATTGTAAATCTTATCATTAATGCAGGGATACTGTGCAGAATTATAGTATATAATGCATGTGTGTCCTCCATGATGTGCACGTGTTATTACATAGACTAAAATTGTATTACAACTGCTAAAAAGAATAGCTCTCTGCCTTTTCTGTATATAAAAGTATCTCTCCAACTGAAAAAAATGGGGGACCCCTGCTCTTTTGCAAGAAATATATACTTGAATGTACATTTAAATTGTACTAAAAGTGCTAAAAATGTAAATAAGTAAGTAATTGTTATTTATACAGTGCCCTTCTCAGACCAGAGTCAGGGGGGGGGGGGGGGGCATTTTGTCTTTCAGTCTACACAAAGCTGGGTGCGGGGTCGCCGTACAGGAAGCATATGACAGACCTATTGTACATTTAGTGGTAAGGGAAACCGTAGCACCTGGAGGAACCCTGCGCTGGGAGAACATGCAAACTCCACACAGAAAGGGCTGGGGGTGGAATCCAACCCAGGACTTTCTTGTTGTGAAGCACAAGCGCAAACCAGTGAGCCGCTGTGCTGCCCGGTGTAAACACAGATTACTCACTTATTTTAATAGGTTAACCAAACTGTCCTTCGTCCCTTCAGTATATTGCCTCTCCGTTTGATTACATAATCTCACTTGGAGAAAATCCCTTTAACCTCTGTTTCCCTGTGTGCCCGCAGTAAAGAGTGCCTGGTGAGCTCAGGGAACGACAACACAGAGAACGGACTCTCAGGAGCCAAAGGTGAAAAACAAGGGACACCCAAGGCATGAGCCGCTGTGGAGCCCAGTACGTCTGTATGATTGTATATATGTTAGACACATGTACAATGCTGTTATCAGAGGACTGTTTTATCCCAGTAGGCTAACAAATACATGTGAATATTTAAGTATTTTTCAACCATGCTTGAAGTGTTATACTATATGCCGAGGCTGGATCACTTAAACGCACACAACAGCATATTTAGATAATATTTCTGCCGTGTTTGAAACTGTCGTGAGCCGGTGGACTTCTCCCAAAGCAGTCAAATATGAGTCCGAACAAAGCTTTGAGCGGTAAACATTTTGATGCCATGATCTCTGAACTGCCATGTTATCGACTGAGGAACAGCACAAGCTTCCACTTTTAACTGCAATGAAAGAGAAATTTACATACAGTTGTTTTTACAATGAAAATATAAGTGGCTATTCAAAAGTCTATTTTAACCATTTCTTATACAAACTAGAATTTAGTAACAACTACATTTGTAACACGTAGTAAAATAGGGGGAAAACCTGCAATAAGTGAGGTGGACCATCTCTACTGCCGATCAAGCCCAAGAGAGTTTCCTGTTTACCAAAAGTGCGCCACATTTGACTGTATTTGGTGAACGTTCTGTACACTTGTTTACGACAGTTAGCATTTAAATTATTCAGCCCTGCACAATTTTGTTGATTGCTTTAGATAAACACAGGTGCCTGTTTTGCTTTTGCTCCCCCTGCTGGTGGGAGGATGAAACCACAGGAGAAATGTACAAAAAAAAAACCCTCAGTGACAATCCCCACACCCCTATAGCTCTATAGAAAGGAATGAATTTAACCATGCTGCTTCTGACTAATAACCAATGCATTTTAGCATGTGCGCATTTTATATAAGGCCATGTAAGAATACGTTCTCTAGCTTCGTAAACCCCACACCTGCCTGTGTGTCCTCATAAGAGTCCATAAGACCATGCAATGATCACTACTGAATGAACATACCTTGGGAACGTACCCTTAATGAATGCATTTTGAAACCATTTACAAACCTTTGCTAATTTGTGAATTTCTCCGGATAGTTATACAGGTTTTTGATTGTTGCTGACAATGATATCAATGTCAATATTTGAAGCAGAAATTATAAAGGTATATTATAGAGTTTATATGAGAGAAATATGTATTATTATTATTATGAGTGTGGCAAACGGGTTATGGTATCTGTGGAATTGGTCAAAGCACTTGTATTAAAATGACTTACTGTTACAGATCATTCATGTTTGGCACATTTGGTTCAGATTCAATATCCATTTCTAAAGTCAGCTCATGTTTATGATGGAGGCTGTTCCGTGTCCCTGAATGTGAGCGGTGACAGCAGCCATGGCTTCATTGACACAACCACATGCTCCACTTCTGTGTTAGAAGCACTGGTCCTGACCACAAGACAAACACATACACTGTACAAGATGTAATGGTTAAGTAACTTTTAAAAAGTAATTACTTACATATTTATTTTCAAACATGTAATAATATGTCACTTTACATGGATATGTTACATTCTTGAAACATGTTTAACAAAAAAAAAAACAGCTTTATTTGCTTGTTTAACTTGTGTGCAAGTATCTCACATGGATATTACTATCAAAAAACTCATTAGATGTATATATAATGAGTATTTCCAAAGTAAGTAATGAATTGTGATGCGTTAAGGGTAATCTGATTTTTGGTATCTGAATGACTTCAAACTGGTGAACACACACCATGTGGAGAATCTCTGAAGCCATGACACTTCCCGTTAGCTGCTGAGGCCTGAATATACTGTAGTTATAACATTGTTTATTTTTGTACCCGATCAGCCTCCTGCTCTGATTCTGGAGGAGTGCGTGTCCTTTCTTGCTTTCAATGGAAGCAATAAGACAGACATAATATGATTATGCAATAATCTGTTTTATGGCACTTTATACATGTGTGTGGTTTTGATGGAAAACGTCTGTTATGATGATTATGTTATACTCCACTGTGTTGTTCAGAGACAGTTGTGTTTTATTTAGATCTACTCATGTTATTTTACATGAATAGGTTGAGACTTTGTATTCTTTTTCCTTCTATAAACATTGGTCAGATGATGAAATATGGTCATTGTTATATGGGCATTTTATGTGACTTGTTTTAAGAGGGCTCTTCTGTGTTGTTTCATTTGTTGTTAGTGGAACTAACCTCAACTCTGTGAATGTTCTGAGGACGCTGTTCTTAAACAAGGATGTTCATGTTATTCCTCTGTGAAGAGGCGCATATCTCAAGTCTTCCTTTGAGAAAAGCAATATCATGAGAAGTGCATTGGAATGGGACACAGACAGACTCGCCCACAGTAGTGAAGTGTGCCCTGCCTTAAAGGGCGGGAGGGGTCTCAGCTGTGACCCGGCGTTCATGTTTCATGGTCAGGGAAAGCACAAGAGGGCTCAAAGGTCTGGGTACAAGTCTGTTTATATAGGGCTATTTTAATGCACACACCATTAGGGCTGTAACAACTTCATCGATTAGTTGCAACTACAGTACTTGCTGGACTATGTACGGCACCAGTATACAAACCGCAACAGCTAAATTTGAAAAGAATTTTCCACTTTTGAGTAGAGGCCTCAGATTTTCCTTCTGTAATAGAGCAATACTTTGACCCAAAACTTTGACCTAATAAGTCGATACACAGGGCTCTGACAACAGGCCGAGTGAACTTCCCTTTGTATCTGCTGTGTTCACATAAACATACTGGGAAGCAGGAATGTGTGCTATGTCTTTAGCTTCAGAACTATATTCCTTCCTGGGATGCTCTCACAAACTAAGATACGGTACATCGGCTGCATCACAACAAAAGAAAATGTTGCGGCTCATAGTCTGCCATTACGGTAATCGATTGTCAACACAATTCGATTGGATAATCATTTCTAAACCTTCCATAGACTTAAACAAGCTGAGAAAATGCCTCAAATCATTCCATAAAGACAAAAGTGTATTTTTCTTTTTAATCAACCACCACATGTCAAACCATGTTTTTTGTTGAAAAGAATTAAACACATACTAACTAATCAATGAATAAAAATAATAATGGTTCAGCTAATCGATAAAATAACTACAGCCTACACATCATACATACACATTTACTCTTGTGCTTCTCCTTTTGTTGTGGTAATCTTATTCTTAATCCTGCTCCTTTTGCTGTGGTAAACTCATATCTGATACTCCTCCATGTCCTGTTGTAAACTCTAACTTAACATGCTTTAGACATACTGGCCTTTAAAAGAACATTCCCATGGTCACGTGGGTCCTCAGTCGCACTTCTGTTTGCAGCGGCTGCTGCAGTAGTGCAGTCTGTCCTCTGCAGTGCGCCGTTCGAGCACCACTGCCACCTAGAGGCCGACTGGCTCTACTGCGGCAGTCACGGTAGTCACTAAGCTTTGGGACACACACAAAAATATACAGCTCATGTTGACGCAGTATAAAAAAATAAAAATACAGCTATACCTAATTATTGTAAATGACATCTCATGCTTGCAGTGTAGAGCTGCAGTAGTGCGAGAAATTACCTTTTGGTTGTTCTACATTTATAAAATGTAAAGTCTTATTTGATAGAATAAATCTCAAAATTAACAATTATGATAAAAATATAGGAATTATTTTGAGAAAAATAGACCGGTTGACCTTAGTTAGACTACTGCCAGAGCGGCTGAAACTCATACTGCCAATCCAAGAGTCTCATGTCTGCTGGTCTGTACTACTACTACTACTACTACTACTACTACAACTACTACACCCAATAGACCAATATAACAGCCCATCCAAGATCTCATATCTGCTAAGCTTACACAGTACAACTTAAAAATGGAGAGACCTAATAGAAAAAAATAAAAATAAAACTTGTCAATGTCCGAAAGGCCTGATGCATTTACTACATCGCAGATCAAACAGGGATCACTATATAGTCCCATACGTTTACAACACTTTGGGCCAAATAATAGACATTACATAGAGAATACACTTATGGCCTAAATTGCTATCAAAACTCTGACCATTCTGTCCGATCCTCGCACTGCCAAAAGAGTGACACCACATTCCACAGACCAACAGAAAAGCTAACTTTCCTACAGCCCAGTGGTACGGAACGCTGCCTCTGGATCGATATATCAGCAAAACTCGATTTCAAACTCAAGCACAGATTGAATTTCAAATACATCACATTTTTGAACAATCACTTATGTAACAATCTAAGATATATAGTGTGACAGCTTTTAAACAGTCCGCATCAATGTCAAAAACAAGATTTTTTTTTTTTTCAGATCTTCTCCCTCTGAATGTTGAATGATTTTGTCCATGTCTGTTGCCATATAACTCATGCTTCCTTCATGACTATGCACCGCAACCTTGACTTGTTACGAAACAAAATAAAAGCAAATACAACTAGTGTGTTGTGTGTTTTTCATGTATATTATATATATTGTTATTATCATTTTTATGTATGTATGTAAGTAACATAATTATACTATAAAATAAAAATTCGTCCTATAGCAGAGACGTTCCAGTAAAGAGGGGGTTGCGATGCAACAGGCTGCGTGCTCTTCATTTGTGACTCAAAAAAATATTGTAAATATTATTATTTTTATTTCCAATATATCGAAAATTGGAATTCTATGTTATGTGATTATGTTTAAAACATGTTTTAATATATTTCTCACAGTTTTCTTACAGAAGTAATAAGTCATGATCATAACCTAACCCTAACTCTGATACACGTTGAGGATGTTGTGGAGACAATAACAATTGGTGATTACTGCAGGAGTCTGTCTCTCAGAGCTGGTGAAGTGAACACCTTCATGATCACTTTAATGAACAGACACTTGCATATTTCTGATTCAGGCTTGTGGCAGTGGACTTCAACCTTATTGATCATTAGTAGGCCAAACAGGGAATAATATTCTTATGTCTACCAATTCTTATGTATTAGCCATGTCTTTTTTAGAGAATTTCAATCATGACTTATATAGTACTTGTTCAGGTTGGGAAATCTCCTTACAATGACCATCCTAAAATCCTTTCTGCCGTTGCTGACATGCCATCATCAGAAGAACCAGATACAAATACAACCCACTGTATAATGAACCAGATTTATGGAAGATGTCAAATCTCGTAAGCCAGAATCAGCAAAAGTATAAGAAACAAATGCTTGACATATATCACTATGTGTAAATAATGATTTAATGATGAAAATGAAATAAAATTAAAGGTAAACACAAACTCAACAAATCCAAAATCAAACACAGAAACCAGGAAAACGACACACGAGGACAAACAAAGACAATGGACCAGCAGCAAGGGGAGAGGAGCTCAGGTACATCAACACAGAGAGACAAAGGTGAAACACATGGGGCAACACAGGGGACCAGGACAGAAAGTAAAAACTAAAAATGAAACCACAGACAACTTAAGTCAAAATAAAACCAAAGTACATAATAACAAAATCAACACGATAACATTTCTGCCATTGCTGAATACATGGCATCAGGATGGCCCCTGTGCAACATGAGTTATGCAAGATGTAATATCTCTTCCTGCTCTCTTACTGTCTGACTGTCGAGAGTGGGCTTAGCATGGACTGCGTTAAGAAAAATGACTTATATCCAGATACATCACAGGGGAAATATCCATGTCATAGTTGCACACATTACGGCAAGATAGAAATAGAAATAAGAGCACACATCAAAGAGGATCTGTTATTTAAGATAATAGATGGTGTTCTCATACCTGTAAATATATATGTGACATATATAAGACATCAGAATGTTGGAAACAGTTAAATATGTGTCTTCACTTTCAGAAAATTACAAGAAAACGCTTCATCTATATGATATGATAGCAGAAAAGTTCTTCTTTTTTTAAATAAGAAAGGTTAAGAAAGTGTAGAAGCAGTTCCGATTCCTACCACTAGATGGAGACCGGGGGACACAGATAGTAGATACAACGTGAACATCTCTGTGACACCGATGTCTTCCGTGAATAGGATTATGATAGATCTTTGCTTTTAACACATATTTTTCCTTATATGTGCTCTTCCGGGCCCTTACAGGTGCATTTCCCACTCTGGATAAGTTCCAGTAAATATTGCTAGTTTCCATTGACCTGCTGTTATTTGGCTCACACGTGTTTCATTATTTTAGGTCTTTAAAAATGAATTGCTACAGCGAGGAAGCAAAATAAAATACATTTATGCTCCACAAGTGAGTAGAAAAGACAACGAGTTTGCTTCTGAGAGAAGTAAAAGCAGTTACTTTCAGACTAATCTTACACAAACCCTGTTTCCACCAGTCCGACTTGCAGTAAGGGCAGGCTCCTTTTGTGGCACCGGCACCTGCCACAGCTGATTAGTGGCATGTACACAACAAATGGCGTTTAAAACGGCATGTGGACAACAAGTGGCGTACAAATGGCGTTTAAAACGGCATGTGGACAACAAGTGGCGTTTAAAACGACATGTGGACAACAAGTGGCGTTTAAAACGGCATGTGGGGAATAAATGGCGTTTAAAACGACATGTGGGGAATAAATGGCGTTTAAAACGGCATGTGGACAACAAGTGGCGTTTAAAACGGCATGTGGACAACAAGTGGCGTTTAAAACGGCATGTGGGGAATAAATGGCGTGTAAAGCGGCATGTGGACAACAAATGGTGTTTAAAACGGCATGTGGACAACAATTGGCGTTTAAAACGGCATGTGGGGAATAAATGGCGTGTAAAGCGGCATGTGGACAACAAGTGGCGTTTAAAAACGGCATGTGGACAACAAGTGGCGGTAAAGCGGCATGTGGACAACAAGTGGCGTTTAAAACGGCAGGTGTGGACAACAAGTGGCGTTTAAAACGGCATGTGGACAACAAGTGGCGTTTAAAACGGCATGTGGGGAATAAATGGCGTGTAAAGCGGCATGTGGACAACAAATGGTGTTTAAAACGGCATGTGGACAACAAGTGGCGTTTAAAACGGCATGTGGGGACAATAAATGGCGTGTAAAGCGGCATGTGGACAACAAGTGGCGTTTAAAACGGCATGTGGACAACAAGTGGCGTTTAAAACGGCATGTGGGGACATAAATGGCGTGTAAAGCGGCATGTGGACAACAAGTGGCGTTTAAAACGGCATGTGGGGAATAAATGGCGTGTAAAGCGGCATGTGGACAACAAGTGGCGTTTAAAACGGCATGTGGACAACAATTGGCGTTTAAAACGGCATGTGGGGATAAATGGCGTGTAAAGCGGCATGTGGGGACATAAAGTGGCGTGTAAAGCGGCATGTGGACAACAAGTGGCGTGTAAAGCGGCATGTGGACAACGTGGCGTTTAAAGCGGCATGTGGACAATAAATGGCGTGTAAAGCGGCATGTGGACAACAAGTGGCGTTGTAAAACGGCATGTGGACAACAAGTGGCGTGTAAAGCGGCATGTGGACAACAAGTGGCGTTTAAAACGGCATGTGGACAACAAGTGGCGTTTAAAACGGCATGTGGACAACAAGTGGCGTGTAAAGCGGCATGTGGACAACAAGTGGCGTTTAAAACGGCATGTGGACAACAAGTGGCGTGTAAAGCGGCATGTGGACAACAAGTGGCGTTTAAAACGGCATGTGGACAACAAGTGGCGTGTAAAGCGGCATGTGGACAACAAGTGGCGTTGTAAAACGGCATGTGGACAACAAGTGGCGTTTAAAACGGCATGTGGACAACAAGTGGCGTGTAAAACGGCATGTGGACAACAAGTGGCGTTTAAAACGGCATGTGGACAACAAGTGGCGTTTTAAACGGCATGTGGACAACAAGTGGCGTGTAAAGCGGCATGTGGACAACAAGTGGCGTTTAAAACGGCATGTGGACAACAAGTGGCGTGTAAAGCGGCATGTGGACAACAAGTGGCGTTTAAAACGGCATGTGGACAACAAGTGGCGTTTAAAACGGCATGTGGACAACAAGTGGCGTGTAAAGCGGCATGTGGACAACAAGTGGCGTTTAAAACGGCATGTGGACAACAAGTGGCGTGTAAAGCGGCATGTGGACAACAAGTGGCGTGTAAAGCGGCATGTGGGACATACAATGGCGTTTAAAACGGCATGTGGACAACAAGTGGCGTTTAAAGCGGCATGTGGACAACAAGTGGCGTTTAAAACGGCATGTGGACAACAAGTGGCGTTTAAAACGGCATGTGGACAACAAGTGGCGTTTAAAACGGCATGTGGACAACAAGTGGCGTTTAAAACGGCATGTGGACAACAAGTGGCGTGTAAAGCGGCATGTGGACAACAAGTGGCGTTTAAAACGGCATGTGGACAACAAGTGGCGTTTAAAACGGCATGTGGGGAATAAATGGCGTGTAAAGCGGCATGTGGACAACAAATGGTGTTTAAAACGGCATG